TTTGAGAGCCCGTAGAATATACTACAGGCCACAGACAGCACAGCTGAATATTATTGGCCGATTCGCTGCATAATAAGAGCGCAGATACATTCCCGCACAGATGCTCCATGTTGATTAAACTACATGTAATAATCGGATAGCGCAGATTGACTATGAGAGACAATTGAGACATTAAGGTCTTATTACGTTGTCGGGTATTCAAAAACCCGCGGTGATTCTGTATTTCCGCGGAAAAATCCGACAGGAATGGATTAATGATTTTCTCCGCCAAGTTGTATAAATAGCCAAATCTTGTCACTTTCCCCACTAACTCTGAAAACCAAATGTCTGCTCAACTCTACTTTACTGCTACTTCCTGCGGCGCTGCATCTTACATCTCTGCCAAGAAAGCTGGATTGATTGGAACTAAAGTCATTGCAAATCTAGTTGATATTCGCGAACACAAAGTCAAAACCGGTGCTTTGAAGGATTCAGATTTCTATAAAGTAAACCCAAAAGGAAACGTCCCAACTTTGGTTTTGGAAGATGGAACTGTTTTGAACGAAAACGCAGCAGTATTGCAGAGAATTGCAGATCTTGCACCTGCTGGAACTCTTGCCCCTGCAAACGGAACTAACGCAAGATACTTGGTGCAATCCAAGCTCTCTTACATTGGAACTGAAGTCCACACTTCTTTTGGGCCATTATTCAACCCAGCAACTCCTGCAGAAGTCAAGACCTGGTCACAAACCAAATTGGCAACCAAGCTTGATTACTTGAACAAGGTTGAATTGGCTGGCAAGAAGTTCATTGTTGGGGACTCGTTCACTGTTGCTGATGCGTACTTGTACATTGTCCTCTCTTGGTCTGGATATCTTCAAGTCGACTTGTCCAAGTACCCTGAAGTTGAAAGATACTTTAAAGGAATTGCAGACTTGGACTTTGTAAAGGAAGCTCACGCAGAAATGAACAAGCTTTAATTTAATAAATTCCTGTGCACTACTTGACTTTTGTAATTCGATATGTACGCAAATAAGAACCACGCACCCGCACATTTTTAATAATTAATCAAGTTGCTGAGTGGTATCAATCTCAAATATTTTTTTTTCAAATCACAAATGTTGAGAATATTTAAAAATTCATTTGCGACAATATCAAAACAGATTCCAAAGCTAATAACACCAGTGTCAGACGGAAGTGGCCCAACTCCAGCCCCACAGTATCATCAAGGAGCACAAAGAACCGGGTTAATAGCTTTAAAGAAAGGCATGACCACAGTTTGGGATGAGTTTGGACAAATGATTCCAGTTACAGTGTTAAAAGTCAAGGAATGCAATGTGTTGGGCACCAGGTACCATTCTGGCTGCGGGTCTTACATGCTTCAAATTGGAGCTGTAAATCATCCAAAACTACATAGAGTCAAAAGACCACAGTTATTCCATTACAGAAAATTCAAAGTTCAGCCAAAGAGAAAGTTGAAGGAATACAAAATATCTCCCGATGCTGCCATTCCATCTGGTAATTTATGCTAATCCAGGGTTTCAATTGAGAGCAACACACTTTGTTGCCGGACAATTTGTAGATGTACAAGCAAAAACAGTCGGTAAAGGTTTCCAAGGTGTGATGAAGAGATGGGGATTCAAAGGTGGGAGAGCTTCACATGGTAACTCTTTAAAACACAGGGCTGCTGGATCAATTGGCCAATGTCAAGTAATTCCAAGTAACATTAGGATCCTGGTAAGGTATGGAAAGGCAAAAAGATGGCCGGAAGAATGGGGGGGGTGTTCCGCACTGTTCAATCTCTCAAAGTTGTAAAAATCGATACTGCTCATGATTTAATTTATGTTAAAGGGGCAGTACCTGGAGTTGATAACGCATACGTCTCAGTATCTGATGCAATTAGAAAGAGCTGGCATGGCAAGGTATTCCCACAAGGGGCCAACGTGCCGTTCCCAACTTACCTTGGCACTGCTAAGCTAGAAAGAGAGCTTTGTGCACCTATCGATGAATCGGCATTGGATCCGTTTGCAAGAACTCGCAGGGAAAAGCCTAAATAGAGAATTTTGCAATAAATTTCAAGTTATATATATTCTCTTGGCCCTGATTCCTACAGCGATGCCCAATCAACATATTTATTATATCAAGCAGTTCAAATCGTCCAAACACACTTCCGCATGCCCTTTTGCTAAAAGGTCTCTTTCATTCAAGATGAGATTCTCCAGCAGAACTCTAAACTTTTGCATCTGGTCCAATCCGACATGATGAATCAGACTATTCTTTAATCCACGGAGTAAGGCTGTGGAGAGAACAAGAATGCCTTTCTTCAAGTCTAGATCTTTTTCAAACTGAATGGTGCCCAGTATATAATCAAATAATTGTGATATAAATGGGAGGAGAGATCTAGGACATTGTTTCGCTATGTGCGAAGATAGGATTATTGCCGATGATTTCATTAAATTGCTATCTTGTCTGAGTACAACCATCACGCTTGGAGATATAATATCAGCTGAATTAAGCGACTAGTTACCATATTTAGGGTATATTTCGCCTGATCGTTGAATAATTTGAAGAATAGATTCGCCCATTCTTGTTCGCACTTCGTCAGTATACTGCATATCCTTGTAAATTAAAGCAAGTTTGTTTAGTGTTTTTTCAGGGTACACATCAGCTAGGGCAGAGCATCCTTTGATGGCATTCAAGTAGATAAAACTATCTGTATCTTGCAAAAAGTCTATAAACATATTAATAATCGACTCTAAATGTTGAATGGACACTGGATCTTTTTGTAGTACCAGTTTCCGTATTTCATTCATTCCATGTGCTCGTATGGGTAGCAATTCGTCGCTCAACTCCTTCAATGCCTCTCTAAATATTTCTTTGGATTTACTTTGATTTTCCGACTTGGAAAGTGCCATTAATTGCGCTTGAACTGCTCTTGCTAGAGCAGCTATTTCATCATTGCCATCACATAACGTTGATAGTATGGTCTTGATTTCATTTAAGGAGCTAATATCGTCTATTGGCTCCTCTTTGCTATTGAATAGTTGCGATAATAAGGTCAGCCCCATGTGTTTTTCGTCGTCGTCAGAATCTAAAAGAGTAGCCTTTACAAATTTAAGAATCTGTGCAGTGTTTTTTAATATTGCATCTTCAAATGTATCCAGTAATGCAACTATTAGACCAGAGTAGTAGATGGATAATCTAAGATTAAAACCGATTACTCTTCTGTGTCTCCGAATTCATTGCTAATTAACACTAATCTGGTCTCTAGTACTTGCAGGAACAAATCACCAACCAACTCTGGCTTTTCTAAAGCTTGAATAAACTTGGCAAACAAAGATGGATCAATAGGGCTGGCTTAATAAATAGTTACTGTTTGTCGGTAGATTCAATAAATTGAATTCCGCCAAAAGATCCATTGGAGATCTCTAGAGTTTGTTTTTCGACGCTGTTTTTTGTAATCTCCACCAAAATTGCAACTGCTTTTTGGGATTCCATCAGCTTCAGTATAATGGAAAGAATCTGGAACACTTGGTTTTGAAGCGCCGGTCTGTTTGGAGTGGATTGATAGATGGCATACAGAGGATGAACAACTTGCATTAGAAATACTTACCTGATATCAGGTTTTCAATTAGAGTGTAGCTCGGTTCATTTCCAATTAGAATATATTCGATATTCCGCAAACATTGCAGAATTTCATCTTGAGTTGTAATAATTTGTTTTCCATCTAAATCTATTTCCTGTATTTCTGGAAGATTACTCGTTAGTGTTGATTCACAACTAGTATTGATTGCATTGTAATTTAGCAGCGGATCCAATATGGGTTTTAATAGGAGTGTTTTAGACATTTTCGGTCTCTTGTTGATAAAATTCACCACCACAAATGCAGCACATTTAACAGAAACTAATACACTATCAAGTGCTGCGCCTGTCTTGTTTTCAATTGAAGAGTTCAATATATTCAGCAATTGCTTGCATATCAAATCAAAGTAAGCAGGTAGATCAACATGCTGTGGTGATTGAATGATGTTGGAAATCTTTTCAAAGTGCAGAAATGTGATATGGTCTATGGTTATGGAAAGTTACCATCTGGATCTTGTTTGATTAAGCTGTGCAATAAACTAGCGCATCCATCATCTCGCATTAGCATCTGATACAAATATTTGGTTGTAAAGGTCTTGATGTACGTGGGAAATTGAGAAGAATTCATCATCATTCTTACAAGTGCATTAATAATCCCTAGTGTCGGTAGCTTTTTGATATATATTTCCATTGTAATCAACTCTGCATTATATTCGAAATATTCCTGGAGCTCGCTGTGTATTTCTCTGCTCTTGTCGGTCGCACCTGTATCGAGTTTGTTGATATCTGTTGCAATAGCTAGACTCGGCCCATTCAAATTTACGGAATTGTCATTGTGTATTAGAATCAATAGGATTTCACTGAAATGCTTTTGTAGTATAATTTCAGCAATATAACTGGGTGTTCTTCCATTCTTGACCCAGTAAATAACATAATTCAGACATACAGAAAATATGTTGGTCTTTAAACAAGTTGGATATTTGTACCTTTTCAGCAACAGCGTCTGCAGTCCTGGTTCAAGTGAAGGGACAATCCCACAGCATATTATAATTGCAATCAATGTGCTTGCAGCTCTATTATCCTTTATCCCAAGCTCGCTGCTTGACAAATGCAGTTCATGGATAACATTGATGCATTCCAAGACATATTTTTCCATTAATTCATTTATATCTCCTTCTACTGAAAGCCTCTCTTGCAGCAATTGTTTTAAATTTGGATTATTGAGATTGAGCTTATCTGCACTGCTGGAAAACAAGTATAACTGATCTCTAGTCATAAAAAAAAGTGAAAATTTAAATTATTCATACGATACTGCCCAATTAAGATGTTTTCTTGCCGTTTGAAATATTTCCAAGGTAGCCAATTACATTCACCTTGAAATATTTCATAATTTATCAAAGGAAAGCAATAACAATGTGCTTTCCGGAAATCGAAAATGTGGCTAGATGGCCGAGTGGTCTAAGGCGTTGGACTTAAGTTCCAATTCGTGAAAGCGAGCGTGGGTTCGAAACCCACTCTAGCCATTCTTTTTCTGTTTTTTGCTTCTAATGATAAATCACTGATAGAGTTTAATACCAATTTATGGTTACTAGAAACTGCGAGCAATTCGTTCGCTCCGTGGTCTGATTCGTGGCATTAACCAGCCACCAACAAATGGCTATTCCGATTTTCACCAAATGCTGCATACGATTCCAATAGAACTGGATAATGTCGCTCTATACTTGAACCTAAAGGACTACACACACCTAAGACTCTCCATCAAAATAAATCTGCCGAAAATATCTTACTGCAACACCAGCTCATTTCATCAATCATACTTTGATGGATACGACTTTTCTCAACATGTTATGCTCTCAAAGGAATATATTACTCGGGATATACTGGATTTCTTTGTGAGTAAACATTGCTTTGCACAGTTCAAGCACAGTTTCAAATTATTCAAAAGCATGAACCTGGACCGCTTGAAACTGGTGATACTTGATTCTACTTATGAAAGCGATACTATTCTGCTACTATTGGATTCATATGGTGATCAGCAATCAAACTCACCCCCGTTCAATGAAAATCACCTATTTCAAACACTATTGCAAAACGCAGTAATCAAATATGTCAATCAAAATCAACCAAAATTACTTTTAAAAATTACTAGAAATATCGACCCCAGTTTTAATGATAATTATCCGCTATTGCTATCAGCTCAGCTGAAAAGAATCGAATGCATAGAAATACTGCTTGATCATCCAAACGTAGATCCATCGATTCAAAATAATTATGTCTTTAAAACACTAGTGGATGTCGGAAACTCTGGCCTTTTAAAGAAACTGTTGGACGACCCTCGAGTAGATCCTGCCAGTTCTAATCAAGAGGCTTTTTTTAATTCAGTTAGAGCAAGAAGGAAAAGCATTGTAAAACTACTATTGGATGATTCTAGAATAGATCCAACCGCAAATTCAAATCAATCGCTCATGTTTGCATCTATGCTTGGAAATACAGACATTGTGGAATTACTATTAAACGACTCTAGAGTTGATCCTAGTATTGAACAGTGTAAAGCCTTCCAATTGGCTTGTTCGAATGGGCATGTAGATATTGTAAATTTAATGTTGAAAGATGTAAGAATCGATCCTTCTGGAAATGACAGCCATTCGTTTAAAACTGCAGCCATGAATGGACATGCACAAATAGTTACAATACTTTTAAAAGATAAACGAGTTGATCCAAGCGCAGACGGGTGTTTCGCCTTGCGTAAAGCAGTTAGAAATGGAAACATTACAGTTACCCAAGAATTGCTATTAGATACAAGAAATGATCCAACAATACATGACAATTATCCAATTAGGATAAGCTGTTTACTTGGCAGCTATGAAATGGTGGAGCTATTGCTAAGAGATAAACGAATATCGATTCATGGAGACTGTTTGAATAATGCAATTGAATCTGGAAATCTAGATGTGGTCCAACTGCTATTGACACGTACAGTTCCTGATGACCAGTCAGTCAAGCATTCTGTTCAAATGGGCAAGACTAATATCACGGCATTGCTCTTGAATGATAAACGGCTCGATCCGCAAATTAGCGCCTACTACTCCAAACTGATTAAAAGGAAAGGAAGGATTTTAGACTTTACCAATTCAATGTTGGATTACGTTCGAAACTTTATAAACTAGTGATTCTATTTGTTTTATCAATATTTACAGACACAGTATTTGAACCTAACTGCTGAAAATGCGAAATTGCAAAAAATTGAGCGAAGTGGGGTTCGAACCCACGCCCCTTTCGAGACCAGGGCCTAAACCTGGCGCCTTAGACCACTCGGCCATCCGCCCAACGAGAGTTTGAGAGTGCATCTCATTACGAATAAATGTAATCCTAACCTGCTTCAAGAAGATATTGATTGGGCTCTAATTTGATACAGGAGTTGTTCACCTAGATATAATGGTAGTGCAATAAGTATATTCATAGGGTAAAATAGATTCTAACCTCCAAATAATTCTTGTTAATAGAAGCCTCCTGATAAATCTTGACACTATAGAGAACTGTCATTATTTGCAAACAATTTGGGGGACTAGAAAGAGACAACTGTGAGCAAACCGAAGTGTCAATATCTGGCTAGTCCCTTTGCACTGGATAAAACACATTCAATAGACGATACTTGATCACAGAAATTAAAAAATGAGCGAAGTGGGGTTCGAACCCACGCCCCTTTCGAGACCAGGGCCTAAACCTGGCGCCTTAGACCACTCGGCCATCCGCCCATGGGTTTGCAAAACATTTAGGCATCCATTAATCTAATATATTTGAAATAACCGATCCAAACATTCCTCAGGAATCCTATACATAGAAACAACACCGATCCAAACATTCCTCAGGAATCCTATACATAGAAACAACACCGATCCAAACATTCCTCAGGAATCCTATACATAGAAACAACATCGATCGAAACACTCTCAGAAATCTAGAGTGATCCTTCCAAGATCAAACAGCATCTCACAGTCATGAATGGCTTCATTTTCAAAATTAATATAAAATTGTTTTTCCTTCTTTCGAAAGAAAGTACTACAAAAATTGGGAAAACGTCTTTGTAACCCTCAACCACAGAAATCTTTAGTAAAAGGCGAAAGATTTGTTTGCTTTGTTCAAAGGTCAGACGGATGAGATTGAAGAAATTCAACTGCATTTATAGTTTTTGTCCGTGGCTTGTGGGCTAAGCCACTTTCATGACAAATTTTCTTTCCAATCATCTGTAGATTGGAAGGTTGTTCAATAATTGAATTAGTTCAGAGGTGGTGGGAATACCTCAGCCCATATCATTCGAGCCAACACTTGAGTTAGCGGCTATGCCAAATAATCTTGAGGATGCCACTCGTATAGATTGAAATGAGGACGTTCAAATCCTATATCCATCGTCTGAAGGCAAACCATGAAAATTCGAATTATGCTACTAGTTGCTCAAGTGTCATTAGTCCAATTACCATTTTTTGATCTTCAGTCCGAAAATGAAATCTCTGAAAAGGGTAAATGCGATTAATCCAGTTAATGGAGCTACTGGCCAATCCAAATGAGAATGAAAAAGAGATTAAGGAGTTGCTCTTGATTGTAATGGCAGGTAGAATGAATGACAAAATCTTGGAGTTGTTGCATCTGACTATTATGAAACTTCCATCTTTATTCAATGGTATTGAACTCCAGTGTTTTCAGCTACTGCTGAATGTGGATTTCAATCTGTTGCAGCTGTTCATTAAACAATATCCAAAGGAGGAATTTGTGGTTATTTTGCTAGAGTTGTTCAGAGAGTACAGCGAGTTACAGCAGGACTGCGAATTAGAATTAGATTCCAATGCTTTTGACTGTTTGTGATTATTTAACTTAGATATGATCAAGAATCACGATAATCAGCTGCAGATTGAAGTTGACCTGGTAAACCAAAAGATTCTCAGAATCAAGGGCAAGGGAGATTTAAAGCAGCATCCTCACTGGATCCTAAACCTTCTCCGGATAATGAAACAGCTATTTGTCCCTTCAATAGAGATTCAGTTCAACAACCAACTATGGAAAATCATTCAAAAAACTCTCATGTTTGATTTCACCGACTACGCATACCTGGATTGCGTTGAACCGTTCTCCTTGCCCGATTTTGAATTGAATCTGTTTAAAAAGCATTTACTTGCGATTGAAGATAAAGAAAACAAACGGGTAAAGTCAAAATTCCAATTGAAAAGGAAATTGAATACAACATTGTTTTATGATTTATTTATGACGAGAAAAACTAGTTTGGATTTCATTACCAGCCAAAATGTGTCGTTAATCAATGAACACATTCTGAATGGAATCGCCTCAAGGATGAACGACTTGCAGGACAAGGCATTCTTGATTCACAATGTTGCAAGATATGTGATGCATTTAAAGAGATTAGTATATCCAGTGAATGAAAAGTTTATGGAAATCCTGCTGGAACATAAACCGCAAATACTCTCCTCAGAAATGGATGAGATTGCTATTGATCTGTACTATGCTATAGAAGATTTTAATGATTTAGGCTTCAAATCAATCATTAAGAAATATGATCTAGTCTGCTTCAATAAGGAAATATTCAACGAGCTGGACAATCTCAAAACACTAATGCACCATTATTGTACCGAATACACGATTAATGATGGATTTTGCTGTTCATTTAGCGGGAAAAGATCTCTGCACTCATTTACAATTTTCAAACGGTTTTATGATAAAGTGCAAAATGATGAATTGATGCAAGTGCTAGACCATCTATTGATGCATTTCTATCCAAATGAATACATATCAAATGTGATTATAGATTCTATTTCTACCACAAATCCAAAAGTCATCAGTAGTTTGATAAATCAAATTTCAAATGACTACTGGGATCAAATAGTACTCGAAATACATAAATTGGAACCAACAAGGCAATTACAAATAATTGAAAATATGATTATTCAAAAGCCAGAATTGCTTTATTTATTGTTGAATGAGACGAAAAACGACAACCTGAAAGCATTTGCAGTTTTGTTTAAAAACAAGGAAAAGATCAATCAGTTCATTAAACCTATAATGCTATATTGCATAAAGCAGTTACCAGATATACAATTGATCCAAAATCTGCACAAAGTGTTAGAAATCCCAATTGATCTGCTAATCAACAAAACACTGAATTTCGTTCTTCCGTTCATGGTACAAAACAATATCGACATTGAGTTTATTAAAAAGAGTAAAAAGAAGCTGTTGGAATACAGTGGAGAAATATGTGCTAGTTTACTAGTGACCGACGGAAATGTAAAGAAATTGTCAGATTTGGTTCAGATTGAAGAACGAGTATTGCTGAAAGAAAATATGTTTAACGTGACAAAAATCATAGCCGGAATGGGGAATGAAGAGTATTTGAAACTATTGGAAATGTACGATGGCTTGCCGTCGTTGTTGCTACGCCATTCACTCGGAATACTGAATTATTTCCAAGATATACTGATTGACAATTCTGAAGACAAGTGCAATATCATCAAAGGTT